TTGTATCCTGCTACATTGCCGAATTCATTTATTAAGTCTAATAGTTTTTTGATGGAGTCTTTAGGGTTTTTTATGTATGATATCATGTCATCTGCGAATAAAGACAGTTTTACTTCTTCTTTTCTAATTTGGGTACCTTTTATTTGTTCTTCTTGTCTGATCGCTATGCTAGCACTTCCAATACTACATCGAACAGGAGTGTGAAAGTGGGCATCCATTTCTCATTCCTATTCTTAGGGGAAATGAGTTTCGTGTTTGCCCATTGAGTATGATGTTGGCCGTAGGTTTGTTATATAAGGCTTTTATTATGTTGAGGTATGATCCTTCTATTCCAACTTTGCTGAGAGTTTTTATCAAGAAAGTGTGTTGGATTTTGTCAAATGCTTTTTCTGCATCAATTGATATGATTATGTGATTTTCATCTCTCAATTTGTTGATGTGATGTATCACATTAATTGATTTGCGGACTTTGTACCATCCTTGCATCCCCAAAATAAATCCCACTTGGTCATGATGTACGATCTTTCTAATGTAATGCTGAATCCGATTTGCTAGAATTTTGTTGAGAATTTTAACATGTGTTCATCAAGGTTATTGGCCTGTAGTTCTCTCTTTTTGTGGTGTCTTTAGCTGGTTTTGGGATGAGGGTAATGGTGGCTTCATAGAAATTGCTTGGAAGTGTGCCTTCCTCTTGAATTTTTTGCAGTAATGTGAGGAGGATTGGTTTTAGTTCTTTGAATGGTTGGTAGAACTCCCCTGTCAAGTTTTCCGGACCAGGGCTTTTGTTTGCTGGAATATCTTTCATTGCTGCTTCAATTTACTCGGTAGTTATCAGCCTATTCAGGTTTTTTGATTTTTCTTGATTGAGTTTTGTGAGCTTATATTTTTTAAAGAGTATGTCCATTTCATCTACGTTGTCCATTTTGTTGGAATAGAGTTGTTCATAGTATTTTTTTCATAATCATTTGTATTTCTGTGGGATTGGTTGTTACTTCACCTCTTTCATTTCTGATTTTCTTTATTTGGGTTCTCTCTCTTTGCTTCTTGGTGAGCCTGGCTAGAGGTTCATCAATGTTGTTTATCCTTTCAAAGAACCAGCTCTTGGTTTTGTTGATATTTGTAGTGTTTTGTTTTGTGTTTTTGGTCTCTATGTCATTTATCTCTGATCTGATCTTTATTATTTCCTCCCTTCTGCTTACGCTGGGCTTTTCTTGTTGCTCTCTTTCTAACTCTTTGAGTTGTAGGGTTAGATAATTCATTACCATTGTTTCTTGTTTTTTTGAGATAGGCCTGTAGAGCTATGAACTTCCTTCTCAAGACTGCTTTCACTGTGTCCCATAGATTTTGGATTGTGTGTTTTCATTTTCACTTGTTGCCATGATGCTTTTTATTTCTTCTTTGATTTCTTTGATAACCCAATCATTGCTTAATAGAATGCTATTTACCCTCCAGGTGTTTGTTTTTTTTGTTGTTTTTATTGTGGTTGATGTCTACTTTTATGCCATTGTGATCTGAGAAGATGCTTGATATGATTTCTGTCTTCTTGAATTTGATGAGTCTTTGCCTGTGTCCCAATATGTGGTCTGTCTTTGAAAATGACCCATGTGCATTTGAGAAGAATGTATATTCTGTGGCTTTGAGGTGAAATGTTCT